CTCCCATGCATGTCAATGATTAGGCCAGGAATCCTGTTATAAGCAGCCTACAGACTGGGTTTGGGGGCTGCTCTGCCTTCCCCTTTCTGGATTGGGGAGCTGCTTGGCATTCAGAGACAATGATAAAGGGATGCACTGCTGCCCTCAGCCCATTTTCAGGATTTTGTTTTTGCACGCGCGTCTGCTTGTTTGCGTTGGTGATGTAACTGCTTGCTCGCTCCTGGGCCCTCGAAGGCCGCGCTCTCTGATTCTGCTCTGTCTCTTCTCTCCAGGTGGACCAAATTTTGATCCATCAGAAAGTGGAACTTGTGGAAGGTATGGGGTCAAAACCGCTGAAATGCCTTTTAGAACTTGTGCGCAGACCGATTTTGCTGCCCTTCCAATGCTCAGCTTCTGTAGGGCCTTGCACTGGGGGAGTGGTGCGGTCAGGACAGTAGCAGAACTTGAAGACAGAGGTTGGGGGGCCCTGTAGATGCTAAAGGTGCAGGACTGTCTGGGACTTCTGGTGTTGGGCGCCTGTTGCAAGCCACAATGACACCACAATGACGCACATCATGTGCAGCGTGAGGTCAGCACATCAGCTACACATCATGCAAAGAGTGCAAGTCTGAAAATCGTTATTGATTTATTTGCTAGGGTTTCTATGTGCTAAACTCCAAAGGGATTCTGAGCAGTTATGTTCTTCTCTTTTGATCAGAAGGTATAAAATGAAAAGAAGAGAAAAGGTATAACAAGAGAACCGTTTGGCATTACCATTAACATTACAAGAACGCTCGGACTTCAAAATGCCATGGAGCTTTTCTACATCTCTTTCCTAGAGTTGGGGACAATTAGCATCCCTAGTCCCAGATGGGAGGGATCCCGGTGGCTCCCTCAGAGCCCCTCCTTTTGGGGGGTCCCCCACTCACCTCCCTGCGCAATTCTCTCGAGGCTGGTTGACTTCCAAGATGGAGCAATGCCCGAGGTGGCTTGCAGGGGTTTTCCTAAACCGCCTCTCCTGTCTAAAGGAAGAACTGCATGAACATGCTCAAGAAGAACTCTGTGCCAGCTCAGCTGGCATGAGAAGCGAAGCAAGGCGAAACTGGCAGTAGCCATCTGTTGTGGGAACGCGCCTCTGCATGTTGTGTGGATCTGGCAGAACAAGCGGTGACGACCTTACGGGTGCCGTGACTTCATTCCACGGCGTGAGGCAGCCATTATTGGTGTCCTGCGAGGACGACGCCTTTATCGTGGCAGCAAGATGTGGCTTGTGCTCATCTACAGTCCCCGCAGCAGCAGAGCCCGCCACGCGCTTTCGCGCTGATCACCCTGCTCTCGATCCCCGGTAACGGCAGCCTTTTCCTCCGCAGCCTTCATCGGCTTTGAAGGCAACAACAAGTACGAGGTGCGGAACAGCCTGGGCCAGCACATCTTCCACGCGGAAGAGCAGAACGACTGTTGCACGCGCAACTGCTGCGGCTCCCTGCGCCGTTTCTCCATGCGGCTGGACGACCCCACCGGCCGCGAAGTCATTCGCCTGGTCCGGCCGCTGAAGTGCGTCAGCTGCTGGTTCCCCTGCTGCCTTCAGGAGGTAAAGGGGCAGGGGCTGCAGGAATGCGGTTTGGATTCGATCACGAGGGCCAGAAGCTTGGATTCTCAGAAGCGAGAGCGTTTTAAGTTTGCGCAGTAAACCTGCTGAGCGGTGGGGAGAGGTCTCCCTGCCCTTTCAAACTGTCCTGGCGCGGGTGCTTCTGATGTTCCTGGCAGAGAAGCTGGCTGCGGGTCCTCTTGACCGCCAACTTTAACCGACAGTGAAATTTTCCCCGAGTTTCCTTTAACGAGATTGATTAAAAAGGAGTGGAATCAGGTTACAGAAATTGCAGCAACTGGGTTGTTTTTACTTGGGACCCCAGTTTATCTCTCAGCTTCTTAAGGTAGAGACCTTTTCGGGGGCCCCCGTGAACAGGAAGGAGGTTAAGTGTGGGTCAGATTGTGGACTAAACTAAAGCGGGACTGTGGTTTAGCCCTTGCGAAGCAGCTGTTGTGTTGTGTGTGAATCTCTCCATCCTGTTACGTTGCAATTTGGCTTATTTGTCCAAGGATTGGGGGTGACCTGGGCACAGCCACAGAGGCTTCTTGACCCCATTTTAGGAGCCGGCACAGTTTCCCCGGTGCCAGTCTTTCCTTTCCTTTCCTTCCCACAGATGGAAGTGCAGTGCCCCCCGGGCACCACCATCGGGTACGTGGTGCAGACGTGGCATCCGTTCACGCCCCGGTTCTCCATCCAGAACGTCGAGAAGGAGACGGTGCTGCGCGTTTTGGGGCCCTGCTTTGCCTGCAGCTGCGGCGGGGATGTCAGCTTTGAGGTGCGCCCAGGGAGAGCACTTCTGCAGAGAACGGGCTCAAATTTTCCCAAGTTGGGGGGGAGGGGCACTTTGCACATGCTCAGGAACCCCACGCCCTTTAGAATATTTTCCTCAGGTCTTAAAAAATGCCCCTTTTTAAAAAAGCCTTTAAAAAAATTAAGATGGGGGTCCACTTCCTGCGCCGGGTCGAGCAGGAAATACGGTGTATGTTTGAGGTGGGGTCACGGGGAGAGCTTCCTTATGCAGTCCCCTCCCTGGTGTCTCCCTGCAGGTGAAGACGCGGGACGAGTCGCGCGGGGTGGGCCGGATCAGCAAGCAGTGGAGCGGCCTCATCAAGGAGATCTTCACTGATACGGACAACTTTGGGATCCAGTTCCCCATGGACCTGGACGTGAAGGTCAAAGCGGTGCTGCTGGGCGCATGCTTCCTCATCGTGAGTCCGGGTCAGAGATGGGGAGGGGCTGTGGGCTCTGGAATCTGGGGGGTGCCCCTTCCCTGCAGCTCAGCCCCTCCCCATATCCTGGAGGAGACCGCCAGGCGCTTCGCTCGAGCAACGTGTCTCCTACTTTTCGCTGGCAGGATTTCATGTTTTTCGAGAAGACGGGAGAAGTTGGACAGAGGAGCTCCGTGATCACAAGCTGAAATCATCTCAAATTACGGACGATTCCCCCAGTTCTGACCAGAAGGAGAGTGTGTGTGCACGTGTGTGTGTGTGTGTCTAACAGCAATGGAGCAGGGCGACGGGATTAGGGCCGTGTTCTCTTCCGGGTCTGTGTGCCGATGCGCTTGAGGGTCTCGTAGTGGCCGAGAACTCATGCCGGGTCTGTAGCCAGACGGTCAAGCATCCGCCCTCCCTTCCCAGGAGCTGGTGAAAGCCGTGGGATTGGCTGGTCATCGGACGGTTCTTCTGCACCAACCTTGCGAGACTGTCCCGGGCCCTGTATCTGCGGTCCCCTGGCTGAGGATTCTGGGAGTTGAAGTCCAGCTCTCTGAAGGGCTCCCGGTTGGGGAAGGTTGGGTTTGGTCTGTGAGTTTAAAGCCGGGGTGGTGATTCTGGAACAGCAGCTGCAGCGCCAGGTTTGAGCAAGTCCCCTGAGCAGTTCACGGGGAAATGCTTGACCTAGAAAAGACGGCTGTCTGCGCTCAGCTGCGTTGGCGTGCCTGCCCAGGTTCTGGATGATGGGGCCAGGGGGGTCTGCAGGGTGTGGTCAAACAGGTCAAGATGGTGGCTTTGATGGTGTAAACAAAACTCTGTTTTGCACATAAAGCCAGGCAGAGCCTTGCCCTCTAAACCTGAAGAAAGGAACCTTAGAGTGGTATTTTGCAAACTTGGCACTTTTAAGACGTGTGGACTTCAACTCCCAGAATTCCCCAGCCAGCCTTGCCGGCTGGGGAATTCTGGAAGTTGAAGTCCACACATCTTAAAGTCGCTGAGGTTGAGAAACACTGCCTTAGAGAGAGGTTTTATTGCTTAAATGTTCCTCTGTGGAGTTACCGCAATCGGTAGGGAAGGATGGCGGTGCCCCAAAGGTTATCCAGACCTTCAGGGAGAAGAGGGAAGGAATCAGCCATCCGAGAGATGCTGCAGGCAGATTATTAAAAAAAGGGCACTTTATAATTCCAGATTGGCAGCAGTGCTGCAGCCTTTCCCAAAGAAACTGTCTGAACAATTGGGGCAGAGGCAAAAAAATAAGTGCGTGTTAAAGAAAACAACAACCAGTCATTGGTTTAACAAAGGCACAGTTGTTAGAGCTGATGACCTCAAGGCAAGGAGCAAAATGCACGCCTCAGATGCTTTTGTTGTTTTAAAAAGGAACATCTGGACACTTCTGTCTGCCCCAGTCGGTGATTCACAATTCCCTTTTTTTCTCTCTCTCTCTCTCTCTCTTTCTTTCTTTCTGGCCTCAGACATTTGGGCTTTGATTTGTTTGACAGCCTCTCCCCACTTGGAGCCCTCCAGTGATAGGCTGGGCTGACTGGGTGTGATGGGAGTTGTAGTCTTAAGCGATCGAGAATGACACTACTCTGGGTGTGAGCATGTATAGAATATGTACAGTGTGTCAGTGTGTGTCGGTGTGGCTCGGACCGGTTGGCACGGGTGACGAAGCAAACGCCGCAGACGTGTTGGGCCAGCCGTAGGCGGTTCTTCTCTGTCCTGCCCAAACTTATGAATAGTTTTGCTGTCAGAACTGGGGGCTCTCCCCGGCTCATCTTCCTTGACGCCTTTTAACAACCTCCTGCCTCCAGCCAAGATGCCGGACATGAATGTCTGCATTGGTCATCAGTGCCACGTTGCCTTAACCACTAGACCAGGAAGACCCCCACCCCTTTTGAGTGCGGTTGGCGGCTCTACCGTCAGCTCAGGGTTGGGGTCGCGGCGAGGCAGACAGCAGCCCCTTTCCCACCCCTGCATTCCAAAGGCTTGCATAATATTAATGTTCAGTGTATTTTTCTGTACTGTATTTAAATATTTACACCAAGCGTTTTATGGAGGGTCGGGCGGGATGGCATGGGGGATGCACAAGGGGACAAGTAAGAGTTTGCTCCCCGCAATGCTTGCAGAACGGTGACTATGGGAAAAGGACCCGTAGCTGAAAATGAAGGTGGTCGTAGAAGCCGTTGCTTGCTTGGAAAAATTCAGGCCGCTGAGTGTTGTGTTCCTTGAGGGTCCTCCAGCTCAGGCAGTGTTCTCCAACCTGTGGCTTGGGTGATGGGAATTGTAGTCCTCCCTGTACAGGGAGGAAGGTTGGACCTAGAGTGGGAGGCTGAGAGGACCACAAGGAAGGCCTTTGTGGGGGGGGGGGAACCAATTTTGGGCCTCTGGGATGACAAGGCTTCTGTTTTTCCAGGCCAAACCAAAGAGGAATAAACATATGTAGCACAGGTCCTTTCGTGGTCCTTTGATTGATTGACTGATTGATTGATTTTATTGGATGCCTGTAGCTGCCCATCTCGCCTGTTGTGATAGTGGGCATCAAACATAAGATTAAAAATCAGCAGAAGCACACCAAAATAATACAATAGTAACATGATGGAGTCTGAGGACCGTCTAACCAAAGCCGTACAACGGCAGTCTAAAAGCAAAACTCTGGCAGGCTCGCCCGACCTCCAGACCCCCTGCCCGGCTTTTACTCCTTGTTCTTCTGTTCTCCTCCTCAACTTTCTGTATTTGGCCTCGCCAAAGGTGTGGTGTCTCCAGGAAGTGCCCAGATGGCCACAGATACATTTGTGTACAGAGAGCAAACTGGGTCTGCAATTTGGGGTTTTGGTTCAGGGTTTGTCCAGGGTCTGCCTGGAGCGTGATGCGAGAGGCGTACTGCCTGTGTTCACGCAACATGCGAAATCCTCCAACAAAATTGGCAGCTTGTCTCCTTGGCAAGAAAACTGCAGGGACTTGTCCCGGCAGTCTCCGGGAATCGGACACGATTGAACAGATACCTAGCTAGCTATCATCTCTCGGTCTTCACAAAGCATGCAATGACCAGACAGGTTCTGTGTCATCCCCTTCAGACAACCGCTGGTTGCTACCAAACACTGAACTGCTCACAACTCTCGCTTCCCCATTTTAATCTGATCTAGCGCGTTGTGCAACCTGACCCACTGAAAATGATCAAAGGTGTTCTGGGGATCAGCCAAACAGCGAAGCCCCAATTGCTGGATTAATGCAGGGGATCAAGCCATGGGTGTTTGGCCCAATATTTCACCGCCATCTTCAGAAAGGCGCTCTGTGCTGGGCCCAAAGATGTCCGTTGGGGGGATGTTACAAAGTCAAGATGGTGGCACAACGGCAATCGAAGGTCCCACCACGTGGCTGCCATTTTGACTTTTTTATTGCACCCTGCAGACGCCGCTGCTGGGCAGAGTTCTCAAACTGGCGATCAGGGAGCGCGTGAGCCCTTGGACAGGCAGGCTGCAATTAACAGAAGTTGGTGCTGGCTTGCTGTAAATAACTCATGCCTAACTGACCCTTCTCTCCTTTGACAGAATTATTAATTTAGTAGATCAGGGGCATGCTGTAGACATAGTTTACCTGGACCTGGACTTTCTAGTGACATTCTCCTTCAAAAAATGGTAAATGATGGGTTAAATGATACCTAAAACGGAATGTAGAGATGACCTTGGTGAAGGGATGAATGACCCTGACTGAGCCCACCTTGAAGGGCTGACAATATCACTGTTAGATGGATTCACAGCTGGTTCAGTGACACCATCCAAGGAGTGCTCATTATTGACTACACTTCAGCTTGTGGGGGGAGTATTGAGTGGCCTCCTGGACTTTGTGCCACTCCACATTTTAATCAAGACTTGGATGGAGCAGAGGGAACATTTATGTTTGCAGCTGATACAAAGCTGGAGGGTGGCTAATAACTTCCGAGGAGATTCAAAAAGATCTGGAACAGGCGTGAGGAGTGGATGGAAATGAAGAGGAGAAATGCCAATTTCTGCGCCTGGAGAGAAAAACGAAAGCGTCTAGGGCGGGGATGGGATCTGGGTGTGCCTGTTGACCACAAGTTGAACGTGAGCCAGCAGCAAGATGCAGCTGCAAGAAAAGCCAATAGGATCTTTAACGGGAGCACAGAGCCCAGGTCTTGAGAAGTGGTTCTTATTCTGGCTTGCACCCTGGCCAGACCCCATCTGGAGTCCTGCATCCAATACTGGGGCAAACGAGTCTAAAAGGAACGTGGACCACCTGGAGAGTGTTCGGGAGGGCTACCAAGATGGCAAGGGGCCTGAAAACCAAGCCACGTCAGGAACACTTAAAGGCTACATTGGGTCTACCAAAGAGATGACAGAGGAGAGAGATAATGGCAACCTTCAACCATCTAACCCAGTGTTTCTCAACCGTGGCAGCTTGAAGGTG